GTCTGTCCTGCATGGTGCTGTTCCCGAACCAGGTTAAGATGTTTCCCGCCAGGATGCTCTCTATGATGCACGAGTAAAAGTTCCTGAGCACCTTGGAGGGCAGTTGGAAGTCTCTCAAGCGTCTGAGGTGGTAGAGACGCTGTCGGGCCTTTTTCACCACGGTGTTGATGTGACAGGACCATGACAGGTCCTGCGTGATGTGAACTCCGAGGTATTTGAAGCTGTCCACTCTCTCCACTGGGCACTCGTTGATGACGGGGGTCTGGTAGTTCCTCTCCTGCTTAGTGCTGAAGTCCACTATCAGCTCCTTTGTCTTACTGACGTTTAGAAGGAGGTTGTTCCTCTGGCACCAGTTCTCCAGATTCCTAATCTCCTTCAGGTAGGCCGTCTCGTTGTTATCAGAGATCAGGCCCACCACGACGGTGTCGTCAGCAAACTTGATGATGGTGGTGGAGCTGGTAGTGGCCACACAGTCATATGTGTACAAAGAGTACAGCAGGGGGCTCAGAACACACCCCTGGGGGGCTCCAGTGCTGAGAGTGGTGCTCCAGTTACAATAAACAAGATTATTTACATTCTCAGGAGTGGCCCCAACAGACTAAGAGACTTGGAGAGTATAATCCCAACCTAAGGTGGAGCAAGATAGAGGACAACTTAAAAACGTAACATGGACAGAGTAAAAAGCACATATGCATAAACAACACTGTCGGGGATATTTAGGAGATCTAAGCATGCTGCACTTAAATATGTAAAAGGAGAATTGGAGATGCAATACCAAGAAAAGAACAAACAGCTGACCCAAATTTCTAAGAAATTAGCAGTTGGTTAAATAGTATGATTCAGGGCGTGCACATCAGAAAGAAATGTATTTAGGTTTGAAAACAGAGTTCGAGAAATATATAAACTTCAGCTGGAAACTAGCTAATAGAAACTCAATAATGCATGATATTAGAATGTTTCTATGTCTTACATAAGCTTGGAGTGAACACTTTAAAATAAGATTGAAAAAAATATATATATATAGATGCATGCTTCATGGAGAAATCAAAAATATGCACCGTTTGCCTTCTCTCACCGAGTAGAATCATTGTCGTTTGACTCATCATGAGAGGCAGAGAGCCTTAGCCTGAAGCACCCCCTCCTCTCTACATCCCTAATGTCTACCATTAAGCCTGTTTTGACAGAAGATTACGTGGCGCCTTTCTTTTAACTGTAGGAGGCCGTCCACCCACTCTGCTCTTGTGGCAGTACAGAAGAATGTGAAGGTTGACCAGAAACATTATTCTCATTATTCTTTGATGGAAATCATAGTCACAGCCACATATGTGGAAAAAACCCTGCAAAGTCTCACTTCACTTTTTATGGTTTGACATCGTCCACATTTTGAAGAAGGCATTAATAAAATCGCATTGCTGGAAAATTTCAATTTCGAATGTCTCTTGTCTTCACTGGCAAACAAAGCAGAAAATATGGTCAAACTGAAGGACAAGAAAATCCATGAAAACCCCATTCTGCAACTCAAAGATTTACCCCCCACATCCCACCACCAGACACTAATTATGGCCAAAAGGATACTCACAATTATTTTAATCAATATTGAGATCACTACTGTTTCTCACAACCTTACCTTGATTTTAGTGACAAAACTGTTTTTAATGGACTGTCATTTGACTGCTGCTTTCACATCCATGTTGTTCTACATTCTTACTACAGCAAAATAAAATTGGTCCTCCAAATTCACCTAAATTCAGTGCATCTCTAAAAAATAAAGAAAAAGAAAAATCGCTCAGCTTTCCCATTAACCTTGTTCTACATTCCCGTTTATTAAGTCCCTCACAAAATAGAAAGTGTTTCACTTCGTACCTGCATAATGGATGTGAAGAAAAAATCCAGAGAAAAGTATTCAACATCTGTGAGATCCGTTTTTCCCTTCCATGTGATGTTTTGCATATTGTACAGTGGAGGTATTGCCAGTTAGAGTAAATCATTGCGTGAGGGGATAACATATCTTTGGTTGATCGGAAGTATTTGCTTTGAGAAAAAAGCTCTTTACCTTCTGCTGTTACAGACATTGGAATCGATGATTGTTGTATGCCCGACTGTGAAATGCATAAGTGGAGGAGGATGGATTGATGAATGGATGGATTTGTCTTATGATGTAGTGTTACTCATCCAGGAAACATCAAGCAGCATAGTTACAGTGCACAGTTTTGACTGGCACATGCAGGCACATCATCAGGCATAGTTTTAGGGTTTCTTTTGCTTTGCATTTTAATTGGCTCAGCAGGCATTTTTTTTAATATTACTTAATAATGTTCATTTAATTGTAGGAAAACAAAATTATGATCAAGATTCAAATTCGACTGTGCAGTCCTAGTCCTATCGTTCTTCACTATGGGGGCACGAGTATGAATGTGCCCCCATAGTGAAGCAGTGCAATTTTTCTGGATTACTTGCAGGAATTTGAAGGGATTAATCGTTTTATGAGTCTGCTGATCTCCAAGTGAGAGTTTATAACACTGAACTAACAGCTTTTTTTATTTTTGAGTGCAATTTGCTCTGTATGTAAATGAATATTAAAAAAAGAAAAGAAAAGAAAAGAAATTCTGTAATGTGTTTACACATAATTTGGGGAAAGCTCAACGTGCACTCCCACATTACTATAGACGAGCATGCCCACTGTATGTACTACATCTTTATCTTCAACTTCTCTTTGTTTTCAATACATTTCTTCTGCTTTTCTCTTCCTATTTATCTCCCTCATACCTCACACTGCTGAATCTTATTTGATTCATGGGAAAGTTGCTGCTCTTGTCTGTGTTCCAGCACCGTTATGCTCTCATAAAATTTGGCTTTGATTGATTACCTGCATTTCTTTATCCCTTCCTCCTTTTCTATCCCTCTCTGTAGTCCATTAGTTATGGTAATGTTGGGTTAAATACATCTTAACTTGCTGGTGATTGATTTACACTTCCACACCCATAAGCATCCCCTCCCTTTCTTCCCTCCTTTCCGGCACCCTCCCAGCACTGTAATGCATAACTTTTGAGGACAGATGCTGTTGGTGTTTGGAGCACTCAGGCTAAAAGGCGGGCATAGCTGACAGCTCCACTGTACAGCCTGCTGACAGAGCTCGAGCTGAGGGGTCAGATGATGAATCTGCTGTGTCACACAACTACACAGAACTAAGTGCAATGCTTCTGCCATCAAGACTCACATGGCGTATGTGACAGACACACAACATAGATCTATATATCTATATATATATATAGCTTGCTTTATTTCTAAAGCAGAGCAAAAAACACACAAAAGACAGTCTTACTAGCTTATTAGAAATGATAGTTGCTGTTTGAGCATTGTCATAATATATGGTAAAATGCACTGCAGTCAACCTGCAGCATGCAGGTCTTAACTCACCATGTTTATAGTATTGATCAGATGAAACTGTCTTACTCAAAACACTTTGTTATAACACTGAACTGAAATGGCAGTTTTGTTGTTTCATATTTGCAGCAGTCATTTGTAACTATAATTTTTTAGCTATTACTGTGGCTGGAAAATAACATTTTATTGGTTTTCTGCTTACATTTGTCCTGATCATGCAACAGTGCACTGGCCATAAATTAACATTTTTAATCAATCCAATTATACTTTTACTCTTCTTTTATTTCACTCATATTTTTCTTGTTCTTAGTCTGTTTTGCAGAGTTACAGATAATACAGGTAAGCTGTTATTTTTGAAAAAATTGCTAAAATTTACAACACTACACACAGCCACTTCATTAGGTACACCTGTTCAGTTACTCATTAACGCAAATACGCAAACAACCAAACACATGTCGATATGGTCAAGTGATTCTGAACATGTATTTTAGAAAGTGCTGATTAACACATATTTCACTGCACATATCTCTGGAATGGTCTGAAAAAGAAAAAAATAATAATATAAATATGTTACCTAGATATCAACTTAAAGTAGGGACCACTTGTCACAAGATATGCAGAAGACCCTCTATGAATGCACAACACAGCTAACAATGAAGGAGATGGGCTACAGCAGCAGAAGACCTCACCTGGTATGCTTCCTGTCAGCTAAGAACAGGAAACGGAGGCTAAAACTTGTATGGGTTCACCAAAAAAGATAAACAGAACATTGAAAAAACATCTCCTGGTCTCATGAGTCTCAATTTCTGATGAAACATTCAGCTCTGAAAGCAAAAAATAATCCAAACTGGTACTAATAACGTGTAACTAATAAGGTGGCTGAAAAGGGTACAATTCATGAGCTCATGCTTTAACTCATATTTGATCGAACAAAAGTAAATAAAGATAAATAAACAATATGCCCAGCATAACTACATACTTTCAGGCAATAATATTTTAGCTTGAAAATTTAAAAAAAAAAAAAAGATTGATGTATTTTCTCTTTTTAAGGACTAATATAAGTTTTTCTTGTGAGGAAGTTAATGGGCCTCAAAGACATTAAAGAGATGTCTACAACTTGAAAGTTTGTTACATTGAAAGAAGAGAAAGAACATGCACGTCGACAGACAAACACACACAACATCCCATTCACACCCTTACAAAACACAGGCTCGTGCTCACATGCTGGGTGTTAATGTGAAAGCCTGAACACTTCAGGGACCCAGTGATCCCCAGATCCATCTCTGACCTGACAGCAGTCCTCCATTAGCCTCACACGCACACGCGCACACAAATGCCGCAACAGAATGCACTCCTAAAATACTCTGTCAGAAACACACATGTGGCACACATACAGGATACATCTGAGCTGGAGAGCAGGGGTAAAGTCATGCACAGAAGTCACAGAAACCAGACGTACAGCTGCTGAACCCAAAACATAGCACTTGGAGAAAAATATCTAAACAATTCCTTTGTGTAATTAAAATTCTCCAAATCATACAAGTAAGCACAAAAACAAAGGCACTTTAGAGAAAGCACATATTAACTAATGCAAATGTGACACGAGGTCGCCTCACCTGTCGCGATCCCCAGCTGTGATGTTATGAAGGTGATTAGCAGCTCCATCAGCACATGCCCTCAAGAGAGCTATAGAAAGAAAGATGCATATTTATCCAGTTTGTTTGAAATAAATGGTGCATATTTCTAAAATTTCCTCTAAAGGTGAAACAAGATTCTCTTCAAACCTTGATCAACACTACATGTGTGTTCGTAAAGTCTCTTATGGATCAGTAACCTGGATACAGTCACTTCAGGATTTCTTGAGTCAATTTTTATTTTACCATATACCATAACTTTAATTTTTTTCCATACGCCTCATTACCATAATTAAGAAATGTGCCATTATGAGTGCGAAAAATAAAATAATTAAGGAGCTTGTATATTTAGATACGCTATCATTAGGAACCAGCTCACACGCGACATCTTTCCACTGTCACTTCTAATAAATGTAATTCACACTCGCTCTTTTTATCCCCGAAAAGTTTCCTTTCAAAACGTGTCAAGTGTTTTTTTTATTTTTTTCAAAAAACACATTTATACAAAAAGGGACTTATATAACATTAACAATGTGTTATTTTTAAGAAAGTACTTTGAACGCCAACATCAGCATTCCCAAGGTTTTTTGATAAATGGATTTACTTCAATCATTGCAGAAATGTACAAAGTTTGAATAAGGTCCAAATTTTTTAGAAAGAAACCACTTTCTCCCAATGAAAACATTACAAGCGGCGCATTCCACAGTGCCAGCAAAGCATTATGGTTAAAGCTATTTGACCCTTTAAAAGGGAAAGGCAGCGAAAGAGCACTTATCTTTTTAGCTTTAAGTAACACTCAAATGATGGGATTATTTGCCATTCTTAAAATATTATTCAAGTTGCACTAAATTAGATGCAAACCATTTGCAAATGTATGCTCTCTCTCTCTCTGCTTCTATTCTATTCAAATTTAACACGCAACCTATTTTTTAAGAGCCCTTTTCTGTTTAGGGCTGCCGTGTTCACACAAGGGAAAACTTCAAAGGATCAGCCAAAGTTTTACTTTCACCTTGTTTAAAACTAACTAAAGCCTGCACCACAGAGACGGGCAACACTTGTGCATTTTTATGTCTCTAAAGCTTTCTTTTCAAGAACTGTGTCCATTCCCCCAACCCAGTACTTTTCATACGCTTGATATAACTCTGTGTTGTGTTTGGAACACGGAACCCCCCCAAAGTTTACTTCTCATTTAATGTGAACTTAGAAAAGAAGACATTAGTCTAAATAAAGTGGTATTTAGCGTTTGAATATTACTTTGCATTCCTAGGTGTTTCATTATTAACTAAATAATGCTGAAAAGATGTTTGGCTGTGGTATAAAAAAAAAAAGGAAAAAAAACTCACACTCCTGGGGAAAGACGCACTGATTTTCACACATCATACATGCACATACTGAGTGAACTGTGACAAGAAATACAACAGATGTGCAACAGTGTCAACTTGAAATAGGTGCTAAAACCGACTTCCATTACTTTTACATATGGCACAACTTTTAACACATCAGCAGCACCGTGGCCTCTAAAAATACGTGAAGGACTTAACAATGTACATCACACCTACATACTGTAAATCACATTTAAACGTATGCTAAATTGGACGCAATTAGCGAGATAAAAGGAGAAGAATGATTATTCTCACATTCTGAGTCTAACTCTCCTCACCCTTAGCTCTTAAAAAGCGACAACGCAGATGCATTTGCACTGATGTAAATAAGACGCTTATACTGAAGGTACTGCTTTTATTCATAACCTCCACCACCTGCTGCCGATGTTTCACGTCAAGAAATGATTGGAATGTAAATGACTCATTATCTCTGACAGAGAGCAAAGGCTGAGAAACTTTTCAAATGACAACTCCTTGAAAAACAGAAACTTTCCTTTAAGACCGGTGACAGACTGTAAAGCTATCAGTCATTATCTGTGTATAAGTGTGTGCATACACACACAGACACTGAATAATTTTCAGACTTCACACAAATTTGAGAACAGTAACTTCTGTCTGTCAGTTGTTTTTTTTGCAGCTCTGTCTATATTGCGCTCCATTTAAGCGTACAAACACATGTGGTTACAATAAATCTAAAAGCCTTACCAACAGCAGAAAAATGTTTCAAAATGATGTATTGTCATTTGTAGCAATGATTATTACATGCAATAGCGTGGCTATATTTATTTTACTTGTAGTGATCCGGTAATCTCGACACATTCTTTCTAAGTTGTAAGAAAAAGAGCTGCCAGTAGTCACTCAGTAACACTTTAGAGCCGGAGACTTCTCCTAGACAATGCTTGTTTAGATGTGCAGTACTTCCAGTACTGTCTAAAAGTCCATTTTAACTTTACATGACTTCCATCCATCCATCTTCATCCGCTTTGTCCAGGGCCGGGTCGCGGGGGCAGCAGCCTAAGCAAAGAGGCCCAGACCTCCCTCTCCCCAGCCACCTCCTCCAGCTTATCCGGGGGAATACCAAGGCGTTCCCAGGCCAGCCGAGAGATATAATCTCTCCAGCGTGTCCTGGGTCTGCCCCGGGGCCTCCTCCCGGTGGGACATGCCTGGAACACCTCACCCAGGAGGCGCCCAGGGGGCATCCTTGTCAGATGCCCGAACCACCTCAGCTGGCTCTTTTCGATGTGGAGCAGCAGCTGCTCTACTCTGAGCCCCTCCCGGATGGCTGAACTTCTCACCCTATCTCTAAGGGAGAGGCCAGCCACCCTTCGGAGGAAGCTCATTTCTGCCGCTTGTATCCGCAATCTCGTTCTTTCGGTCACTACCCACAGCTCGTGGCCATAGGTGAGGGTAGGGATGTAGATCGACTGGTAAATTGAGAGCTTCGCTTTTACACTCAGCTCCCTCTTCACCACGACGGACCGGTGCAGCGTCCGCATTACTGCAGCTGCAGCCCCAATCCGTCTGTCGATCTCCGGCTCCCTTCTCCCATCACTCGCGAACAAGACCCCGAGATACTTGAACTCCTCCACTTGGGGCAGGAACTCATCCCCGACCCGGAGTGGGCACTCCACCCTTTTCCGGCTGAGAACCATGGCCTCAGATTTGGAGGTGCTGATCCTCATTCCCGCTGCTTCACACTCGGCTGCGAACCGTTCCAGTGCGAGCTGGAGGCCCTCACCCGATGAAGCCAACAGAACCACATCATCTGCAAAAATCAGAGATGAGATTCTGAGGCCACCAAAGCGAAAGCCCTCCGCCACTTGGCTGCACCTAGAAATCCTGTCCATAAAAATTATGAACAGAACCGGAGACAAAGGGCAGCCCTGGCGGAGCCCATCACCCACCAGGAACGAGTCCGACTTATTGCCGGCAATGCGAACCAAGCTCTTGCAACGGTTGTATAGGGATCGAATGGCCCGTAGCAATGGGCCAGACACCCCATATTCCCGCAACACCTCCCACAGGACACCCCGAGGGACACGGTCGAATGCCTTCTCCAAGTCCACAAAACACATGTAGACTGGTTGGGCAAACTCCCATGCACCCTCAAGTATCCTGGAGAGGATAAAGAGCTGGTCCAGTGTTCCGCGACCAGGACGAAAACCGCATTGTTCCTCCTGTATCCGAGGTTCGACTAACGGGCGCACTCTCCTTTCCAGCACCCTGGCATAGACTTTCCCAGGGAGGCTGAGGAGTGTGATCCCCCTGTAGTTGGAACACACCCTCCGGTCCCCTTTCTTAAAGATGGGGACCACCACCCCGGTCTGCCAGTCCACAGGTACTGCCCCTGATCTCCACGCAACATTGCAGAGGCGTGTCAACCAGGACAGCCCTACAATGTCCAGAGCCTTCAGGAACTCGGGGCGGACCTCATCAACACCAGGAGCTCTGCCACCAAGGAGTTGTTTAACTGCCTCAGTGACCTCGCCCCCGGAAATTGGCGGGTCATTCCCCTCATCCCCAGACTCTGCTTCCTCCTCGGAAGACGTGTCAGTGGGATTAAGGAGGTCCTCGAAGTATTCCTTCCACCGCCTGACAATTTTCTCAGTCGACGTCAGCAGCGCTCCGCCAGCACTATACACAGTGCAGGTAGAGCACCGCTTTCCCCACCTGAGACGTCTGACGGTTTGCCAGAATCTCTTCGAGGCAGTCCGAAAGTCTTTTTCCATGGCCTCTCCGAACTCCTCCCACACCCGAGTTTTTGCTTCAGCCACTGCCCGAGCCGCATTCCGCTTAGCCTGTCGATACCTGTCAGCTGCCTCCGGAGTCCCACAGGCTAACCAAGCCCGATAGGACTCCTTCTTCAGCCTGGTGGCTCCCTTCACCTCTGGTGTCCACCATTTGGTTCGGGGATTACCACCACGGCAGGCACCAACCTCCTTGCGGCCGCAGCTCAATGCAGCAGCTTCGGCAATGGAGACGCTGAACATGGTCCATTCGGACTCAATGTCCCCAGTCTCCCTCGGAATGCTGTTGAAGCTCTGCCGGAGGTGTGCGTTGAAGATCTCGCGGACTGGGGCCTCTGCTAGACGTTCCCAGCACACCCTATGCGTTTAGGTGCACCAGGTCTGTCCAGCGTCTTCCCCCGCCACCTGATCCAACTCACCACCAGGTGGTGATCAGTTGACAGCTCAGCCCCTCTCTTTACCCGAGTGTCCAGAACATATGGTCGCAGATCTGCTGATACGATTACAAAATCGATCATCGACCTACGGCCTAGAGCGTCCTGGTGCCACGTGCACTTATGGACACTCTTATGTTCGAACAGGGTGTTCGTTATGGCCAAACTGTGATTAGCACAGAAGTCCAATAACAGAGCACCGCTCGGGTTCAGATCAGGGAGGCCGTTCCTCCCAATCACGCCCCTCCAGGTCTCGCTGTCGTTACCCACGTGAGCATTGAAGTCTCCCAGCAGGACAACAGAGTCTCCAGGTGGAGCACCCTCCAGCACCCCCCCCCCACCCAGGGACTCTAAGAAGGCTGGGTACTCTGAACTGCCACTCGGCGCATAAGCGCAGATGACAGTCAGGACCCGTTCCCCGACCCTAAGGCGCAGGGAACAAACCCTCTCGTCCACCGGGAAAAACCCCAACGTACCGGCAGCAAGCCG